TTGTTACATCTTTATAAATCCTTCATTAATATTTTTCTCATCTCTTTTCATCTAATCCCATCTACCAACTTTTTTACCATCTTTATAATCACCTTTATAAGTCACTTAACAATAACTATTATTTAAAAATAAATATTTAAATTTCTAATACTTATTGAAACTATCACTCAACTCAACTCAATCCATTTTCCATTTTTTTGATTTCCCTATGCATCCTTATTTTCTCCATTTTATTCATATAATCCACCTCCACTTTAGAAATTAGAAATAAAAAAATTACATCTTTTCAATTTTCCAACCTTCTTAATCATATTTGAAAATGATATCCCAGCTACCTACTTTCTAATCATTTTTATATTCTCCAACATAGGTAACTTAATTTGAACTATAATAGTAAACATTAATTTAAAATTCCTATACCTATCAAAATGATCACTTAACTCAATCCATTTTCCATTTTTTTGATGTCCCTATCCTTCCATATCTTCCCCAATAACATCATATGATCCACCTCCGCTATATAAATATTAGGAATAAAATAATTACATTTTTTCAATTTTCCAACCTTCATCATAATCTATATAAAAAATATCCCATCTACCAACCTTTTTACCATTTTTATACTCCCCATTATGCGTAACTTAATTTGAACTATTATAGAAAATTATATAATTCCTAAGTTTTATACTATTTAAAGCCATCACTCAACTCAACCCATCTTCCATTTTTTTTTAATTAACCTGTTTATATTTTTCTATTCGATCATTGTAAGTTCCACCACCGCTAAATAAATTAAAAAAAATCCCTTACATCTATTCAAACGTTTTTAATTGTCTATACAACATATCCCACCTGTCAACCTTAATACCATTTTTATATTCACCTTTGTATATAATTTAACTCGAACTATAATAAATAAATGTAAAGTATTTCAGTTCATCATCTTCTTAATCCTCCTTAAAATCAATAAGTAATTAAATTAATTTCATACAAAATCACATGAAAAGATAATAAGATTATTAAAATTATTATGTAAATAGCTGTTTAATATTAAAATATATGGATTGGTAGAAAATAGCATCAAGTCCCTATGGAGTAATCTATTAATGTAAACTAATTTATAAGAGCCAGAATATGAGGTAATAGATTAAATGAGGCTTCCTAAAGTATATATGAAGTAATTGTTTCATTATAATTAGGCTATTTTCAGAAATAACATGTAAATTAGCTAATAATAATTCAATTTATTTAGAAATTTTACTGATTAACATACTACTCTTCACCACCAAATGAAATATCATCTAATAAAAAAATTACATTTGCTCAAATTACTCATTCTCCTTAAAAGTATCCCATCTACCAACTTTTTACCATTCACATATTCACCAACAAATGTTACTTCACGTTCACTAAATTTAACTCTTAATAAACTATTATGACCAAAAACAATCATGCAACTCAATCCATTTTCCAAATTTTATTCCGTCATCTCAATCATCTTA